TTTTGCAAAAATGTATTAAAGTGTAAAGTGTTAATTCTTCATTAGAAAACGAAACAATTATTTAGATTTAATTTTTGGAATTTGTTATCGGTATTTGGAATATCGAGTCGTTTTATCCCGATATTAATGGGTACCCGATATTTTTACAGTAATTCTTTAAATGAGTATTATATCGATACTTCCGGTTCGCCTAAAATTCGCAATAGCGAATTTCTATCTGTTGGTGAATTTATGGTGAAGCAAACGTGGTGGAAAACATTCTGCAAATTTTTTTCTTCTTCTTTAGTATTGAACTTCATGCACTTTAACGTCTCATGCAGCAATTTGATTTTTTTGTTTAAAGCGTCGTAAAAAGTAATTTAAGGAAAGTACTGACAACATTTTTTCAGGAATAGGGTTATGTCAACAATGACTTATAATGAGCAAATAAGTTCAAAATGTAAAGATTGTAGTCGCGTGTTTTTTAAATTTTTCCTGCTAATACAATTTTACCCTCCATTAGTTGAGCTCGCAATCCGTCTACGGATTACTTCGTTAATTTAAGGTAATACCTTCTTGAATAGCTAAAAAGACATACTAAGGTTTGAAATAATTTGCAGAATAGTTTCGATACAAAATTTTTTTAAATTAATTTTTGGGGACAGTTTCCAGTTTGTCTTTGTAAGCATATTAGGGTGGTCTAAAGAAGTAAAGTCGGAATTTTAATGCTGTCACCCCCTACGATTGTTCTATATCGAAAAAATATACCCGTATTCTATTATTTTTAAATCAAAAAATATTTAGAGGTCGCTCAATGCTCTCAAAGCTTTCCATGTATTTTAAAAAACTACTTTTCGTAGAAACGGTATAGAATTCTTAAAAAATTATATTTATCGATCGGAAAACTCCGAGTCTCTTCGGGAGACTTCCAATAACAATACCCAATTGTTTATTTTTCAAGTTTTTAATACTAAAGACTTTTTATTGGTCCCCTTATTGCATTTTCTGGGGTTTTTGGGAGACCTATGATATATTGTTACTATGAAAAAATTGTTCAAAAAAACGATTGGATATTATTATTGGGAGTCTCCTAAAGAGAAGCAGACTTTTCCGATTGAAAAATATTGATATAAAATCACAAAAAAATGGGGCACATTTTTTTCAGTATAGAATAATCCTAGGCGGTGAGAGCATAAAAATTCCGACTTTACTTTTTCACATGCATTTTTGGAACACCCTAATGTACATACATATGTGCGAGTTATGAGGGTATAGATTACTCAAACGAGACGAGAATGTTACTCATACGACATGTACTACCTTTCGATTTTAATATATTACATACTAGCTTTTACCCGCGGGTTTCACCCCACATCTTTATGCAAATATGAAAAATACTTTATGTAACGATGTTATACTCTCTGCTCTAGTTTTACTATAGCCGTGATAGCAGCATATGGTAGGGCAGCTGTATAGCTTGGGTATTATGGAATGAAATGCAATAATAATTGTTTGGCACTGCAGGTGTTTTGTTTAGGTTAAAATATCTCCAATAAATTATATAATAGAAGAAATACTTCTTTCTTACGAATAATAACTATAATATAATTTCACAGCATTTTTTTAATACTTCAAACTAACTATTAACATAAATGCATTTTCCAATACAATTATCATACATTTTATTTTCGATAAAGTTTCGGGTTTGACTTTAAGGCATTCTTGTTTATTGTCATTGCAAAAGCTAAGCGAACTGGAAACTGAGGTCTTTTAAATTCGAAAGGCATATCAAAAGGAATTAAAGGAGTCATCTGACTTGAGGTTCCAAAGTTATGGCTGATAAAAAATTCCACGCCTATATTATGTGTCACGCCCCCATTTACAAACTCATTTATACAAACCTTACTATAAGCACCTACCATTGATATGTTTGCATACCAAATTTTAATTTTATGTGACTTATGGCTCCGAAGTTATGGCTGATTAAAAATTCTACGACTATGACATATGCCACGCCCCCTCCTACAAAGTAATTTATATATACCGTACTATAAGCTTCTACCATAGATTTGTCCGCATACCAAATTTCAAGTTCATGTGACTTATGGCTCCGAAGTTATAGCTGATTAAAAATTTGCAGGCCTATGGGAGGTGCCACGCCCCCTCGCAAAATTGACACCATATTTGCAAACAAAACCATACCTATAACCTTCCCGGGATAAAAACAGATAAGCGTGCAAAGTTTCGTGCGATTCTGTGTAGTGGTTCAAAAGTTATAAGGTAATAAACAAACAGACATTCACATTTATATATATCTGTGTTCGTATGGAAAAGTAGCTTATGTCGAAAGGTTGGCTTTAGTATAAATCGGCATTCGCAGCATACGATTGCGAATGACTCACCGGCTCTAAGCAGTTGAAAAACTTTTGGCAAATAAACGTGCAAGAAATAGTTCCGATACTAGCAAGTCAATATTCTCATCCAAAATTCCTTGTTGTTTAAAGAATAAAGGGAATGCCGTATTATACTAAAGCCAGCCTTTCGACATAAGCTACTTTTCCAAACGAACACAGATATAGATGTATATACATATCCCCTGCAAACCATTTTTTCAGAGTATTCTGAATTGTAGAGAAATTTTAAAGAATTCGTAAAGATCTCATTAGATTTTTTGCCGAATTATCTAAAATTAAATAAACTGTGCACACTTTGATTCTTTTACGAAATTTTGGAAGAAAATCGGTAAAGCAATGAAAATAACGCTGTTATGTGAAGAATTTCTTGCATAATTTTTTAAAAATTGTCTTTATTATTCGTACAGAAATTCCTTTCGTGTCAACCCCTTCATATAATTTTCTTTGAAGATTCGTACAAATCATTACATAAATGAGATACTCCTAAAGATTTCGTTAAGATTTCGAGAACTTTGGTTTGCAGTGTCGTTACCTTAATTCACAAAGGCCTTAAACAACAAAGTTTTTATTTTACAGGAGTAGGCAAAAAACATTATGAAAAGTATATCAAGCACAGGTGGGGGGTTTTTAAAAAGTGGGATGTAACTCCGTCGTTTTTGGTACTAACAACTTAAAATTTTTCGAAAAAACTTGGGTAACAGTTGCTCGTCGCCACCTGTATATAAACAAATGTTTTATACTATACTAGCCGGCTTCGTATGCGCGAGGCTTCGCTTCGCGCTGAATGTGTAGATATTAAATAAGATGCGATTGACAACCAAACAGGTTGCGGCCAAGCCCTTTTATTTGACACCTCATTTCCTGTAATTTAACAGCCCACATTTTTTAATTTTTCGCACAGGTTGCAACCCTCTTCGAAAAATAAAACCGTACTTCAAATCGGAAGGTCAAGCCTTTTCCTTTGCATCTCGTTTTTTTTTTTTTAATTGAATGAACTGTGTAAATCTAATGTCATTAACAAAAAAATGCCCTCGCGTATTATACATACATAATTTTTAAATAGGTGGCAACCCCACTCAAGCAAAAATTAAAAACTTATTGAACATGCGGAGACCATCTCCTTTCACTTGGTACCTCAGTTTTTAGTCCAACAAACGGTGAAGATCTTATAATTTTTAAAAAGTGGCAACCCTACTCAAAAAGTAATTCATTATTGAACATCCAAAAGCTGAGCCCTTGCCCTCATTTCTTGTACTCCAATGAACAGTGCGGATCTAGTAAGTTTTTAGACAGGTGGCAACCTTATAGGAATTTAAAGTACTAAAGATAATATTCCTATCGATACAGCTTATACTTAAAAAATCTCGTATAAATCCGTTCTGTATTTTTTGAGATAAGCGTGGCCAAAGTATCTCGACGTTCCTTTATACTATGTATAGAAGATAGCAATTTTTAAATAGGTGGCAAACCTATTAAAAAAATGAAAGCTTTTTTACATGCGAAGGCCAGGCCCTTTTATTTGGTATCTCATTTCGTAATCCAACGAACGGACAAAATCTTTTAACTTTTTAATAGGAGGCAACCCTACTCAGAAAAATAATACATTATTGCACATGTAGAGGCTTAGTCTTTTCGTTTGACAGTGACGGTGCAGAACTGATGCCTACCTTATTGAATATAGTAATTTTCCTTTATACTATGTATAGTTTTACTTATCTCTGTATTGAGTAAAGTAGTTGGATATTCTACACCATCCGGAGGTTTGCAATGAAGGCGCGTTATCGATTGTTTGGTTTGGTGTTCAATTCCCCTGGAGGACCAAAGTGCATATAAACAAAGTTTTAGAAAATACATATTGCACACCATCTTCAAAAGTGACAAAACTCAAAATTTCGCATTTTTGAAATTAAAATTTTTCCCAATTTGTTTTTGTTTTGCATGTTAAATTATGGGAACGATTTTCACATGGAATTGGCGATAGGGCTCATTTTTACATTCTATTACCTCCCATACTAAATTATTGTTATTTACTGAGTAGGTAAAGTTGTGTTTTTATAATAGCCGTACCTTCCATGTCGAAGTATTGTTCTTATCTTGTAACACAAAATTTAATGTGCCTTGGGAGAGAAGACTTTTTAAATATAAAAATTAAAAAAAAAAAAACAAGGTAAAGATGCAGTAACTGAACTTATCAAAAATTCAGTTAATGATACCTAGATGAAATAAAGTTATCAAAATGAAAAAATGTATAGCTTTCACAAATGTATATGTACATATATAAGCAAACTTTTAGAATCTACTTATATTCTATTTTTTACAAAGTTAAGCCATTTTGTAATGCCCCTATGCTAAAATATTAATATTAAAAAAAGAAAATCATTTTGTCCGCTTCGTTACGCTACGTATGGGAATTTATGTATTTAATGAGTCAAATATGCATAAAAATTATGCAAATATTTTTAAAACTGATACCAGCATTGCGGTTGGTCTTCTAAGTAAAAAATAATTAATAAAAAACGTATCACCTATTTTCAGGCATCACATGTGCATACATATTATATTTTTATAGATAATTTACTGATATCAATAAAAATGTTCAAAATTCAGGAAAACTCTATGCCTCGTCAGCCTTTTATTCGCCAGGCTTGCATCCTACGGTGGAAGATCAAGTTGAGCTAGCACGCAGAATTTCAAATTCTTTGAGTGACATAAGCAACCAGAAATCAAAAGGGCAGTCGATGTATGTGAACCGTAAAAAGCGCTCTGTTAAATGGGTGCATGAGGGTTCTGGTCAAGGTAACGAAATCGTTTACACACGTATGTATGTATATACAGCGGTCGGGTAAGGAAGTCGGACTAAGCAAAAATTACACATGTATTTACCTACGCAATTTTTGTGTTTTTAATTTTCTAAAAATGGTTGAGAAAAGGTTCGAAAAGGGCTCGAGAGTGTTGAAATAACTTATTTTTTTTTAATAGTAAAAAAGTAAAAATCATCTGAAAAAGAGGGGTCCTTATTTTGGAAACTTTGTTCGTGGAAATATTGAGGCTACGCAGTCAAAGCTCAATCTGAGTGAGAAAGTTAATAATTAGTTTAAAGCAGGGGTGCTAAACAAATTTAAGTTAGTGAGCCAAACGACAACAACGTCAATAACAATTGCAGCAACTAACAAATCATCATTGAGCACACAGCTAAGCAAATGCATGCCAACGCGAGGCAGCAGTAAATGAATGTCCCACTTGTTTTTACTGAGTCAACGCTTGTTTTATTTGTTGTAGCTGAGCCAAAGTAAGCCAAAGCAAAGTGATGTTGTTGCGTGCCAACTGAGCCAATTGAGCTATTGGATGAGCACACCTGGTTTAAAGGACACACAATTTTTGAAGAGAGGCCATCTAGACAACCAAAATCGTTGTCGAAAAATATGGTATGCAGCGAATAAAAAAGGCGCCAGACTCGAGCGCTTCTAAACTCACAACGATTAAGGACCGTAATGGACAATCACTAAAACTAATGAAAAAGCCACGTTAAAATAAATAAGTGTTAAAAGATTCGAATAACGAAGAATGATGGGAGATTGAACCCTCGATGTTCGGAAAACTACTCGAATCAATGCCAAGAAAATTTAAAGCAGTGAAGAAAAGTCAAAGCTTACCAAACAATTTTTGCCGCACATTTCCGTAAGAATATATTTTAGGTTATGCGCAATTTAATAAAAATAGCCGAAATCTTTTGGACATGAATTCAGATAACCAATCATATTAAGTCTTCTATGTTCTCAAAATTGAGAGAAAATATGATGAGGTGGAGAAGAGATGCTATTGGGGTTTACCTACCAAGCAAGGGCTCACCCGTTTCGGAATTAGCGCGCTGAGGATCTAAAAAAACCTTGAAAATGTTTCCAAATTGTTTTGGCCCATATACATAGTTGTAAAAAGTCTTACGCGTTTAATACAAAAAAGAAATTTTCAAAGTTTTACTAAGCCTGTTCGACTTCTTTTTTGAGCCACTGTATGCACAAATATATACATACATGTATACAAAAATGTTTATACTCGATGCCAAAAGCACAAGACGGCTATGAGATGGTTCAATAGCTGGCGTGAATCAATTATTTTCGGTATAGTTATTGCATTGCTGGCAGCAAATTCGCTTTTAAGAAATAAATTAATTCACTATGTACTAATATTAACTTCAGACAGACAGTTAATCGAGCTTATCTGCATAACATATCGAGCTTAACTGCATAGCATGTAATTTTACGTACAGATCAAAAATCAGACTTCTACATATGTAATGCTGTGCGTTCGGTAACCACTTACACGCAAAGCTCATTTAACGGATTCCTTATGTGACAACTCTTATGCAATGCCAAGTATGCCAGCCAAATTGAGCCTCAAATCGTAGCTGAGTAAAAAGAGAATCGACTCGATTAAATTTCTGTTTGAATTTAATATAAGGGCGTTATACATACAAATCTACATACTACATTCCATCACAATATCTTATTATACCTATACATGCATACATAAGGTCCATTCAATATAAAAAATTGTTAGAAATTGTTTCTAGTACTTGCAAGTTTTTACTGGAAATGCATTCAATAACCCAAAATATTTGCAAAAAGGAGCGAATTCGAGAGCGTAAAAACCTGAGATAGCCGCAAATTCTTGCAAGTAAAAATTTTACTAGCAGGAATTTGCAGGAGTTAATGAGTAAGGTGATGTTTCAAATTCAAATGTAAAGAAACTGTTGAAGAGGATGGTTTGATGAAACATAATTAATGAAATGAAAATATGGATGAACAATTTAAATCTATTGTATATTTTTTTTTATTTTTATGACGGTGGGAACTATTCCCATTAAAAAGAAAATTGCGCGCCAAAACTCAACCGTCAGAAAGTGTCAAAATGGCTTAAGTTACTAGTTTTGCGTTCAATAACTTTTTCTGAAAATTTTCTCTTGCTCTCAATTTTACTCTCTATTTTTCTTTTACGCTCTCGCTGTAAGTGTTTACTGGAAAGTTATTGAATGGACCTATTGTTAGTAAATCAAATATGGGTTGTCTTCTGCATACAACTATACATACATATGCATGCACACATAAATATATACAGTCGATCTCACTTTAAACGGTTTACTGGCACAGAAAATTTTTCGCGAAAAAAATCGCCTATTAATAACCAAATTTGTGTTCAAATTTGCTTATTTGCTCCTATTTTGCGAAAACTCCGTCATAAAAAAATTCCGAGTTAAAATAACCAGGTCTCCATAACTTGCTGTCTCCATTAGTGATTGTTCATCTGCTGCGATAGATCTCCGGGGAGAAATCGCTTGCGGAGACCGCTCACCGCAATCGCGAGAGATATCGCTTGTGAGCTATCGCAGGCGATTGCCTGTGAAATAGTTAGTTTAACCGCTTTTTTAAATTTGAATTTTTATAAAGTTGTGTGTTTTCTATAAAATATATGCTGAAAACAACGCGGAGTAAGCTATTTTTGCGAATATAGTAATTTCCGTCATGTGGAATGTACTCGTTAGCACTTTTTGAAATGAAATCTTCTGCGATGAAATGCCCAATTATAAAAATTTCTCTTCGACGAGCAATTCGCTTGCGATGAAACTGACAGATCACCTGAGATGGCTGTACGCTATGAACACAAGTAAGAAACTCGAATTTGGGGCAGTGAACAAATTTATTACGTACCTACTTACATATATTTTGCCCGCAGCTTCGCCCGCGTGATGTTTGGTTTAACGAAATCTTTTAAATGTAACAAAGAAGGAAACAAATCATTTCACCACATAAACATAACAACTTTTATTAAAAAAAAGTTAAGCAATTCAAATTAATGACATCTACTGCAATACATTTCGTAAACAACGTTTCGGGACTTATTGTCTTGGGCATGTACCTATATAGATTTTTTGCTCTCGATACACGCGAGAAGCCAACGTAGAATTGTCCGTTACATATTTTCGGAACAACTAACACTCGACAAAAACACGTTAGCCCTCTTTTTAAATAATGTATAATCCATCACATTATCGCATTTGGTACGTATCGCCCCGGCGATATGCCCATAAAATGATTGCTTTTTTAGTTGCTTTCATTTATTGCGCGTATCAAGAATTTTCTAAAACATGTCAACTATAATTAAATTACTTTCTTTTTTTCTTAGATTATAAACGAAATACATCGGAAAAAATCTCGTTGAAAAGACCCCTAGAACAGATTTGTATGAATTTAAAATTTAGTGCAAATCAGTACAGATTTTGAAAAAACAGGACATTAGCTTACTGGTTGAAGAATGAATAAAATCAGTACGAGAGTTAAAAAATCAGTACTATACTGATAAAATAAGTACGTCTGGCAAGCGTAGCTGGGGTTATCTTTTTCATAGCTGCAGGTTTGCATTTTTTAGTATGTCCATGTTCATATAAGGCTTAGGGCCATTTTTCTAAGTACCTTTTTTTATCTTGCCTTTAAACACATTGTTTTCATAATAAAATTTGTGTTCAACATGCAGATAAATTTTAAAACCTACATGAGACAGCGCAATCCAAACAGCATTTGCAAAACGCACTGAAAATAAAACAAAAGGACAAAATCATTATCGCGAACCGCGTTAAAAAAGTAAAACCGCGTAAAAAAGACAACGGGGGATTGTAAAAAACTTCGCGTTAAAAAATCCGTGTTAAAATAAGATCGACTGTACAAATATTTTTACATAAACACATACATTTTTTTTAACACATGCATACATACACGCATTTGCACACACTTCCATGTATCCATTCATAACAAAATCAGGACTCTTCACTCCTATGTAAACATACATACCCATATATTACATATTTACATGTGATATAACTCGTCAGTGTACGACAACAAACTACGTTGTACGTTACGCTTAATAGCCGTCCGAATTTTCTTCTTAGATTTTTATAGTTTATGTTTTACATTTTATATAGTTTATTTTAGATTTTTTAAGTTAACAATTTTTTCCAGTTAGAATTTTATATTAAATTAATTATGTTAGTTGTTATGTAAACTTCTTGGTAAAGTTTTCTTATTTTTATTTTAAATTTTTAATACAAGTTTTAAAACTATTTTTCAAATTTAGAGTTTCATTAAGTCAATTAATTTTAGGTTCAGATTGATATATTTTTTTAGTTAAGTTTTTAGGTATCTAATTTTTTCAGTAATTTTGTTTTTAAGTAACATTTTTATGTTTCAAGTTTTTATGTTTACTATTTTTTTTTAGTTTTAAGAATAGATAGGTATTCTAGTTTTCAAATACTAGTAACTTTAGTTTTCATTATAAGTTTCCCAAGTTTCGTTATTTGAATTTTTACGTAATGTTTTTTTAAGTAACTTTTTTCAATTAATCTAAAGTTTTTGGGGTTAAGTGATTTGTTTTTCATTTGAATTATATGTTTGTTTTTTATTTAAAAATTTTTACGTCTAGTTATTTTAGTATTTCTAGTTCCATAAACAATTACAATAATAGACGTCTTCCGTAGTGTGAAGTATTTTTTTAACGCCTTAAAATAGTCTCAAAATCCTTCTACTGACTCTACAATGACAATATGTTGGCAATGCAGATTCGTCTGTCCAGGAGAAAAATTATCAGGAGGAATTCAAAGAAAACAACCTTGCACTTGGTGAAACAACATCGACGACACAAAACTCCTCAACACCAATTCAAGTGCCACTTCGATTGTTAATGAACCCACGTGGCAAAGTTCGTGACATCACCTCAGTGGGTGATTCGTTTAACATCGAAGCTAGCCTTTTGTCGCCCGACAAGTGTGCAGAACTCGTCACAGCCCTACAAACTCAAAAAGGCAAAGGTAAATGCAATTTCAATGTGAAAAACATACACACATTCACATAAATTTTTATGTAAAAAAAATTTTTGTACGGTTAACTTAAATCGTTTTATTGTGATATGGACGTATAAACGCACACCTAGCGGGTTAGGAGCATCTGAACAATATATATAACGTATAAACGCACACCTAGCACTAGACATTTTAGCATGTCATCCGAAATGCGGGTTAGGAGCATCTGAACAATATTACATGTCCGTATAAACACGATCTACGTCGAAACGTTTTGAACAGCTGTTTTTAATTTTTAAATAAATAAATATTTTTATTTTTTATTTTTAAATAAATAAATAAATTAAAATAACAACATAATGGGTATTGGGAAGTATCAAGTACTTTTGAGGCTCGATTTTTTCAGTATCAATTCCTTTAAGGATCGGGTATTTTTCCAAGTACAAATACATTTTTATAAATATACACATATTGACAACATTTCATTGCTTCGTGTAGAAATCTCACAAGCTGGCATTACATCAAATGAATATTATCTGCCGGTTTCACCCATGATACAAAAAAGAAGGTAGTTCCATTGTCATTTTTTCGTCGCCATATTAACAACCTGACAATTAAGTAGATTGTGACATTTCGTGCTACCGTATGCAATATCTAAAATCCTCCAAATTTTATTATTAATTTTTTATCTATTTACAAACTTTTTGTTCTTAGAATCGAAATTTGAACTAGCAAAAGGTATTTTGTTGGGTATGGCTCGGTTTTTGTACAATAATTTTGGGTTGTTGTGTCACAAGACTTAACCCAAAGCAAACAATTTTAACACACACGTGTTGTCAAACAATTAAACGTTAGTTTAAAATAAAAATTTCAAGTTTTCAGATACAAATTTATGAATAAATTCGGTTTGAAATACGGCCCTTCTTGTAAAAATTACAGTGGTCAGCGTAGCCGGAGTTGGACTGATGAGAATTAATTTTGTCTAAGCGCTGCCGAAATTTTACCCTTTACCCAATTTGTTGATGTCTCCGCTCCCCATTCCAAAACCATTGCACAAATAACCGAACGTTTCCCTGTTTGTATTTTAAAGAGAATGCTCAATAAGTTGATAATTGTGTTTCTAGTTTTCATTCTAACAATAAATCACAAATTTTTTATCGCACCAACTCTAATATTGAGTAAAATATATTTTAATTTTATCCAAAGAAACAACGATATTGTCGAAATATACTAGAATTGGATAATACTCACTTCTCTGAAAGTCATGAGGCCTATGGGTCCCAAAGTAAGTTCCGTTTTCACGTTACTTGAAAGACATCGAAATGTCTCTATTATATCAGAAGCAATCGTATCCGATATAGAAAACTGTAATAGTCCTGGCTAGCTACATTGTGTAATAATCAGATGACATAATGACACTTTAAACATTTTAAAATATGTTTACTAAAATTTTATTAATGTAAAAATAAAGATTTTGGCAAGTAGTTATCGAATTTAATGTAAAATTTAAAAGTTTTTAAGATAAGATATTATTTATTTTTAAAAGGTAAATGTTAATACAACTATTTTATTTATACTCCCAAATTTAGGATATAAAAACCCCTCTACCAAAAAACTTAAATTGGGTAACGCCGCTTCGATTTTTTACAATTGAGCAATTGTCAAAAATGTCCTTTTTAATCAAAAAGTTGTTTATTGAAACTACCTTCTTTTTTGTATCATGGTTTCACCGACACTTTAAGTGTAAACTAATTTTTTCTTTCTGACAGTTTTCATATTAAATTCAAATCAAAAAGGTGAAATTAAATTGCTTTCGTGTAGCTGTCTATAAGTTATTTTTACATATGTATATATGTTCATTTTATTCTATGTAAGTAAGTTTCGGCTAACTGTACTGTGTACAAGTATTGCACTTTTCAAAACTTGAAATTGGGTACAATCTTTTCTGAAAACCAGTAAATCTAAATAGTATCTTTGCATTCGACACTTACTACTGAGAACGTGAATTCGAACTTGAGTACATGTATCAGATTAATGATTTGTACAAATTATTTTTGAGTAGTGAGTAATTCCAAGTACTTTAAAGTACTCAGTATCGATACTTTTAAAAATGCGGGTACTGGCGATCCTTTTGAGAATCGAGTTCTGAGTACTTTTGGTATGGATACTGCCCAACACTAAAAATAATATACCTTACGTAATTACTCTAAATGGAGTTCAGCAACTCAAGAATTGGTGTTTTACTA